TCGCGCGTCGCGTTAAGAATAAATTTTCCACCAATATAGCGATGGTGGAACTTACGGAGGACGAGAAAAGCGAATTTCTGCTCGCAACTCATTGTCACGTGTGCGGGAGATCGTTTCAACCGGAGGACAAGCGCGTGCGGGATCACTGTCACCTAACCGGACGTTACAGAGGTCCGGCGCATTCTCGTTGCAATCTGAATTACAGAAACGTTTACGTGATTCCCGTGTTTTTTCACAATTTGTCGGGTTACGACGCGCACTTCGTCGTCGAGAAAATCGCGAACGATTTCGAGGGCGGGGTCGATCTGCTGCCGCTCAGGAAGGAAAGCTACATATCTTTCTCGAAGACCGTTAAGGAGACGCAGACGGACGGGAAATGGGATCGGTACGTGAAGCTTCGATTCGTGGACTCGTATAAATTTTTAGCGGCGAGTATCGAAACCCTGGCGTCCTATCTGAACAAGGACAAGCTGAGAATCACGCGTTCGGAGTACGCGGATTTGAGCGCGGAGGATCTCGATCTGCTCACTCGCAAGGGAGTGTTTCCGTACGAGTACGTCGACAGCGCGGACGAACTGCGGGAGACCGAGCTTCCGCCGCGCGAGGTCTTTTACTGCTCCCTGACCTACGCGAGCGAGAGCGACTACGAGCACGCGACGAGAGTCTGGCGACGTTTTCGCGTGCGAGATCTCGACGAGTACAGCGATCTGTATCTCAAGACCGACGTGCTTCTTCTGGCGGATATATTTGAAAATTTTCGGGACGAGTGTTCAGCGAATTATGGGCTTGATCCCGCGCATTACTACACGTTGCCGGGGTACACGTGAGACGCCATGCTGAGATACACCGGCGTGCGTTTCGAGCTACTTACCGACATCGACATGGTGCTGTTCGTGGAACGCGGAATACGCGGCGGCCTCAGTCAATGTTGGCTCAGGTACGCGCGAGCCAACAACAGGCACGTACCGACGCACGACCGCTTGTTTCAGCCCACTACGTATCTCATGTATTACGACGTGAACAATCTGTACGGATGGGCTATGAGCGAATCGTTGCCGTACGCGAATTTCCAGTGGCTCGACGACCATGAGAATTTCGACGTGACGACCGTGCCGGCGGACAGCGACGTCGGTTACATTCTGGAGGTAGATCTCGAGTACCCGCGGGACCTGCACGACGCCCACGCGGATCTGCCGTTGTGCCCGACGCGCGACAAACCGCCCGGTAAGCGACAGGAGAAACTGCTCGCTACTCTCTACGACAAATCGCGCTACGAACGAAACTGACGCACTTTCGAAACCTGCAGCAATGTCTGCGATTAGGTATGCGTCTGACGCGCGTTCATTGCGTTCTGCGATTCGCCCAGTCGCCGTGGCTTCGCGTCTACATCGAGCTGAACACCACGCTTAGGACGCGCGCGAGCAACGAGTTCGAACGGAATTTGTACAAACTGATGAACAACGCCGTCTTCGGCAAGACGATGGAGAACGTGCGCGATCACGTGGACGTGCGTCTCGTGACGCGATGGGACGGGAGATACGGCGCGGAGGCGTTGATCGCTAAACCGAACTTTCACGGCAGGAGTGTCTTCTCGGAAAATCTGGTGGCGATCGAGCTGCGAAGGCTCGAGGTAAAATTCAACAAGCCGGTCTACGTGGGTATGTCTATTCTCGAGATATCCAAAACGCGTCTCTACGAGTTTCACTACGATTACATAGTGCCGCTCTATCGCGACCGGTGTCGAATTGCTTACACGGATACGGACAGTCTGATCTATTCGCTGGAATGCGAAGACGCGTACGAGCGTATGAAACGCGATATACACAGGTTCGACACGAGCGATTACGCGGAGAATAACGCGCACGGTATGCCGCGCGTCAACAGGAAGGTGCCCGGTTTGATGAAGGACGAGAACAACGGCGTGATCATGACGGAGTTCGTGGGCTTCGGAGCGAAGATGTACACTTACAAGGTACTCGGACGCAACGACACCAAGAGAATAAAGGGCGTTAAGAGAAACGTAGTCGCGAAGAGGATCACGTTCGAGGATTACGTGGCGTTCCTGCGGAACGCGCGCGAGCTGAAAACGCGCCAGTCGTGCATACGCTCGACGTTGCACGAGGTTAACACCGTGTCGGAGCAAAAACTAGCCCTCAGTCCGCACGACGACAAGCGATACCTGACGTTGAACGGCGAGGAAACGCTTCCGTGGGGACATTACGGAATACTGTTGTAAAAAAGGAACAATATTATACGCTTTAAAAATTGTTTTATCGTAAAAATCAATAACACGTAAGAAACAAATCAACGAATGTGTAAACTTTTATTAACAATAAAGTAAGCGTTGCGTGTGTCTACGAATGTCTAAGTATATCTTTTTACAATACAGACGTATTATCTATCCACGAATTGTGCGAACTGTCCATTCCCAACCACTTCACGAACGCTCGATTGCCGCGCTTGCGCAGGACTTTTTCCACGAGATAGACGTCGGGATTGGAGACGCGTAGCAACTTGTGTTCGTAGAATCCTCCGGCTATCGTTTCTCCGCGAACGTCTTTCAGCAGATACGTAACGGGATTGGTCTTTTGTACTTTGGCTATGCGAAAGATCTCGGTGGTCCAATTGGGAATGTAGCTTTTTTCGAAGATCGTTTTGAATTTGTTCACGCGCACCGGATCGTCGACTCGAAATTTCGCCGGCGCGGCTATCTTCGCGCGACTGTACACCGTGCGCAGCAGCTTTTCGGCGACAGTGGGCGTCACGTCCGCCGGACGCATTCGGATCGTTCTGTGTCTGCGGCGATTGTAATTCGACAAGAGGCGCGGCAGCGAATCTATCCATTTGTACGATCCCTGGAGCGTGAAGAGCTTCCACATGTCGTTTTTCAGCGTGCGATTGAATCTCTCCACCACCGACGCTTTCATCACCGAATACGTGGAGTAGTGATTCACCTCGCGCTCGTCGAGGATTTTGGGCACGTCGGCGTTGTAGAATTCTTTTCCTTTGTCCGTTTGCAGATTCCTGGGGTGTCGCGCATCCTCGCGAAAGATCTTTCGGAGAGCCGTCGCGACTTTTTTTCCACTCTTACTCTTGAGCGGGATCGCTTAGGCGTACTTGCTCAGCACATCGATGACCCGCGTTTGCGTGCGAATAGGGGCGCATCTCGACCACGTCGGCCTGCCACAGGTCATCGTAACCGCGCAAAGGAAAGTTTTTTCGCGCCGGCGCGTGCAATTTTTCCACGAGTCTACGTTTTTCCACGCTCATTTTGTTTGAGAAGCTTTAAAACAGTCTTGATTGCGATGATTTCAACTTCGTGCTTATCCGCGGTATTTTTCACAGTAACGAACTGGTCTTTACATTCTTTTATCGCGTCACTCAAAGTCTTTCCGAGTTCCGCGATCGCTCCCTCGACGAAGCTCCTGTTGGCCGCGTCGGCGCCGACCTCCGGTGCGACTACGCGTCGTAGGAATCCTGAGCGTTCAAACGGAGCGCGATGTTTTCCAGCGTCGCGATTCCGCTTCTCAATTCTTTGATCGCGTTGTTATT